TCTACACCTTGTTATCTCAGATTCTCCAGCATCGGCAGTTCCTACTATCTCTGTCATAAAAACTTGTCTGGTTTACTAATATCCTTACAGAAGGAAAACTGCCTGTCTTAGCTATTGGCTTACATGTGAGTCCAGCCACACAGCAATGTGATTGGCTTTTAACTACTTCCTGAAAATGGCCAAGCAAGGAACTCTGCTGTATCAACCACTAGAACATCTCAAAAAAGTGAAGAAACCAGACACACCATCTGGCAAAAGTAAGGCACTGGAAACGTCAACAGCAAACTCAACCCTGTCAACCCTGCAAAGTTCTCCTTGCCAATATTGGGAAAGCTGTCCACAGACTAGTCAGCAACAGCCTGATAAAGTCATATTCACAATATGAACCCTGTCCCACCAGCAGGACAGACCCAGCAAAAGTGTGCACAGTGGTATACAGTCAGGAAAGAATTGCCCTGAGAGTGCTTAATGTTTACTCCGGACTCCAAGAAGTCTCATGGAATCCGGTCAAATGTGAACAAGGAAACTTCCTTCTGATTACCAGGTATCTCCCTCCACCTCAGCTAATGAATCAGCACCCATCTATGTTGAGGACTAACTGGAGGAATTAGTAAGGGTGACAAGGGCAGAGAATGTACTCTCGGTGGGGGACTTCAATGTCCCATACAAAGAGTGGCTTGGTAGCACCACTCCTGATCAAGCTGGTCAAATCCTAAAGGATATAGCTACTACCCTGGGCTTGCAAAATATGGTGAGGGAACCAACAAGAGCGAAAAACATATTTTGACTAATCCTCACCAATATACCAGTCACAGATGTATATGTCCACTACAGTATCAACAGTATACCACCGCTCAGTTCTTATGGAGACCAAGTCCCAACTTCACATTGGGTCTACCCTCCATCATGTTGTATGGCATCACCATTCTGTTAAATGGAATAGGCTTGAAACAGATCTGGCAACTCAAGACTAGGCATTAATGAGGCACTGTGGAACATCAGCAGCGGAATTGTACTCAAAACACAACCTGTAACCTCATGGCCCAGCATATTCCCCACTCTACCACTATCAAAATCAGGGAATCAACTCTAGTACAATGAAGAGCATAGGAGGACATGCCAGGAGCAGCACCAGGCATAACTAAAAACAAGGGATCAACCTGGTGAAGATATATATGCCAATAGCAGAAGCTACAAGCCATAGCTTATAAAGGCATTTACTCAAACATCTCCCAATGTCCTTCGTGTAAACATCTGAAAACAGTACAAGTAAATCATTACAATAAATACAATTACCAAACCATTTCTCAAAGGAAATGGTGAAAACTGCCATAACATTAAAGTTTTATTCAGTTCTGACCTCCTGAACTGCAACTATTGAAACTTGCCTTGAATTTCATATTGCTTGCTAAACTTAGGGAAACTTCTACAGCATTCAAAGAGTTGGGCTCACAATTGGGTTATAAGAGTCCAATTCAAAGAACAATGGGATATTCAGACATTCTAACATCCACCTCCATAAAAAGTGGACATGGGTGCATTCTGGCAGGTTAGGGAACATTTCAGGCACCTGACAGGTTAAATACCAGCTCAAACCCAAAAACATTTTGGGAAGATTAATATATAGATTCAGCTAAAAGAAATCCTAAATATCTTGAATATGTTATAGATACTGTTTATTTTAAGGTGAGTTTAAGATTTATTTTAGTTTTCTTCTCTACTCAAATAATTTCAAAGTGTTAACTGTCTCAACTTCCATGACAGTGACAGTCTCCCATTCCAGCTCCTCAGCTTCTTTTGGCTCAAACTGCATCAACATTTCACGTTATTTGCTTTATATGCAGCTACACAGATGTAATAAAAACTAAATGGCATGTTATAACAATTGAGTTCATTAAATATCTTCACAAGTAACATCAAATTTGAAAGTCTGCTCTTGCAGAACCAGTATATGTTCAGGACTAAGGCCAGAAGGAGTGAGAATTTATCATTTGTAGCCACCAATTCTTGAAACTCAAGTATACACTAGTGTCATTGATGGTCATTCAGTAACACAAAACACCCAACATTCTTCCATCAAAAGCTGTGAAACACTTCTGATTTTAAGAATAAAATTGCTAGCAATAGAAAGTGCCTTTCAGTCCATTCTCACTTTACAGTGCCAGCAAAAATCATTTGACAATGAAAATCAGACCAAACTCCAGATGCTTTGGTTCTAGAATGTAATCATTTATGTCAAATTGAATGATGAAAAATTTTAGTTCATTTGCAGAACAGGTGATCTCAGCAAAGAAACTGTACAACAGTGATTTACAAGAATGGTTTTATGGATGAGAAACTTTAGTTTATGAGGGGAGATTGGAGAAGTTGGGACTGTTTTCCTTGGAGAGGTGAAGGTTGAGAGGAGATTTGACAGAAGTTTTCAAAATCATGAAGGGCCTTGACAGAGTAGATAGATGAGGAGAAACGGTTCTCATTCATAAGAGGATCAAGAACCAGTGGGCACAGATTTAAAGTGTTTTGCAAAAGAAGCAAATGCAAAGTAAAAAAAAATGTTTTGCAAGTAGCTAGACTCTGGAATGCACTACCTAGAAGTGAGGTGGAGGCAGGTTTAATTGAGGTTTTCATGCGGATATTAGATAATTATTTAAATAGAAATGATGTACAGGGCTATAGGAAAAAGGCAGGAGACTGGCACCAAGCCGAAGTGCTCAGCGAGCTAATGCAGACATAATGGTTTGAATAGTCTTCTTCTGAACTTTGGCCTCAGCCACCTTAAGTTAAAGAACAGGAACAGTAAGCTAGATCAGCCAGGGTGCCTACTGTTGACTGTAATTCAGCATTTCTTTCTGGAAAATTGTTGTGGCATTATATTGGACAAAATAAGAAGAGAATTGATCTTGGCTGTAATGCCACCTGTAGTAGGACAATCTGACAATATTAGTTAATGAAAGTTATCCAATCTTGAGGAACTCGAGTGCATGCAGGAGCAGATAGTGATAAATTTAAGGCAGAAATCAAACAACTGGAGTTCAGCGTTAATCAATTGTAACTGGATACTATACCTTGGCTTTACTGCTCCATATGCATAAGATGACCAAGCAGTGCTGGATTTCTCCCAGCACCTTTTATATTGATTCAAACGTGATTGGATACTCGTCCTCTTTCTGGGCTTTACATCTGCATTTTAAAAATAAAATAGTGTTTTGATTTTATGTTTTAAATTTGAGAGTCTCAGTCAAATATCCTGCCATGAAATTATGATGTAAACAAATTACAGAATTTTAATTAACAAATCTGTTTACACAATAGCATTTTGTTATTTTGCCTGGAAGCACATTTTCTCAGCATACCCTCAAGACTCTTAGCTAGGTAGATCCTAAGAGAGCCTGCAGGGTCATCTAGAAATTGGGACCAAGCTCTTAGGAAAAAGGGCTGATAATTTAGGATTGAATGCAGAGAATTGTGAACGTTTGGAACAGTCTACCCCGGTAGCAGAAGAGATATGGTGACTAGGCTGGAAAGTGAAAATAAGGCCAATGATCAACTGAATTGCAGAGTAGGCTCCAGGTCTGGCCAATGGTCTACTCCCAATACTTCTTTAAATATTCTTAAGAAATAAAGTAATTGGAACATAGAAAGGCTGTTAGGCCCATCAAGTTCCCTTCTCCATTTACTCATCGTATTAAAGGAAGGATGTCCTTTTGTTTTCATTATTCCTCACAATCCCCTAACCCAGATCATCAAGTACAATAACACAACATTAATCCATATTTATAGCTCCATTATTCAATATTAGGTCAGTAGTTTTTCGGCAAAGAAATTCTGTTGATTGCAGCAGCACAGATTCCATTAAGTGCTTATCTGCAGTTTATCCAGCAACCTACAAATGCCATGGAGCTTCCACTGCCACACTCTTAAAATGGATATACATCCAATATTTCATTCAGGACATTTATACAGTCTAGCATCATGTTCACAATGAATTAAGTCATGACAAACAAAAAGGCATTCACCAGAAAAGTTTATCTGTTATGAACTTAAAACTTAACACACCATCTCCTGTACTGTCTGCACCTGCCTTAAGAAATGAAAACAAATGGAATTCATTTCCTTCCTCAGCCTTTCCTAATTCTTACAATCTTACCGCTAATAAAGCCAAAATTAGTCATTTTTGTTTAAAATCCACCCTGGACACTTAGCACACAATGTAGGCTGGTATTTCAGCTCTGGAAGCGATGCACTATTGAAGTGTAATCTCTAGGGCAGGCAATGGAATTGTCACTGGACTAGTAAACCAGATACCCATGTACTTAGGTTTAAATCCCACTAGAGGATTGATTTCATTAAATAATCTGTATTTAAAAGACTAATGATGACAAATAAAACATTGTTGATGTTTGTAAAACCCCATCTGGTTCATTATTGTTCTTTAGGCAAGGAAACAAAAGGAATCTGGACTGACCCATGGAATGGCCTAGCAAGCCACTCAGTTTCACCAAAACTGCTTAAAGACCTGAAAGGAATAAAACTAGACAGATCATCCAATGTCAGTCTTGGCATTGGAAACGATAACAGCAAACTTAGCCTTTCTGACCCTGCTTAGTCTTCGTTACCAAAATCTGGTGGCTTGTGCTAAAATTGAGAGAGTGTCTCACAGAGTAGTTTGAAGTAGTCTTGCTTGCAGGATCATTCCTTGGAACCAATATTCCCTGTGACTTTCTTTCTGGCTGCACAGATCTCCTGAGCACATTGCGAGGCAACAACTGTCATTCATGCTATATAAGCGCCAGATATTGATCATTTCCACTTGACATTCAAAAGCGTCATGATTGCATCACTATGAACATCCTATGTTTCACCAATGAATAGAAACCAAAGTGGATTGGTCATATAACTACAGTGACTAGAACAGCAGCTCAAAGGCTAGGAATTTCACAGCAAGTGACATACTTCTGACTCCCCATATCCTATTCATCACGTACAATGCAAAAATCAGGAAAGTAGTAGCATACTCCCCTCTTGTCTGGATGGATGCGGCTCTAACAGTACTCAAGAAGCTTGACACCATCCAGGACAAACAGCATGCTCGTTTGAAACCACATCCACTCACTCCACCACTGACATTCAGTAGTAGCAGTGTGTACTATCTCATGACCACTGTAGATATTCACCAAGTCTCCTTAGAGAGCACCTACCAACCCAGAACCAATATCATCAAGAAAGACAAGGATACCAGGTACATGGGAATACTGTCACCTGCAAAATCCCTTCCAAGCTACTTACCATTCTGATTCGTAAATGTATCACTGTTCCTTCAAAGAGGCTGAGTCAAAATCCTGGACCACACCTCTCTAACAGAACTGTGGCTATATAATTACACCAAATAGACTGCATATGGACTTCAATATGGCAGCTCACCACTGCATTCTCAAAGGCAATTATACATAGGCAATTAGCTGGCTGTGCCAGTGAAGCCCACATTCCCTGAATAAATTTTAAAAATGTTTTCGGATGAAATGACTGGCTCTCTCACCTGCATATTAAAAGGTCCCACTCTATTAATCCAAGAGTAGGGTAGTCTCTGAGCATCCAAAACAATTCTTATCTGTCACCTAGCATAACTGAAACTAGTTACTTGGTTATTGACATCATTACTGTTTGTCAGTTGCATTCAAATTGACTGTTGCCTTCTCCTACATTTCAATAGTAGCTGCACTTCAAAAGTAGTTCATTTAAAATGATTTAGATGATTCAGATTTTCTGAAGAAGGGTCTAGGCATGAAACGTCAGCCTTCCTGCTCCTCTGACGCTGCTTGGCCTGCTGTGTTCATCCAGCTCTACACCTTGTTATCTCATTTAAAATGAGGTACTTTTGGGATTTCTGGAGGTTATGAAATAGCATTTGAACATTGCTGAACAGAAACACGTTGCTATAACTTTTTATCCTTTTCATCAGGGAGGGTTTATTGAATGCAAAACCATGTTCCCAAGCTTAAGCTTGTGCCTCTAGTTTACTCATCCAGTGACATTTGCACTCCTCCACCTTCTACCCCTCCTACTACTTTATCAAACAATTGATGGAATTTAGAGCACAACACAAGTTACACCTTATACACAAAAGATCCTAGCACTGTCTCTGAACCACGCTTAACAACAATTATAGATCTATGTCAACAAACATTAGAGGTTATTTCATCATTCTTAATTTACTGTTTGCGAGACTTTGTGTACATATTGACTGCCATAGTTTCCAGCATAACAACAGCAGAGATACTTCAAGACATTTCATTGGCCGAAGTGCTTTGGCACATCCTAAACACGAGAAGATACACTCCTTCTTTTGTGAGAATGATACCCCTAACCCTAACCCTAACCCAAACCCAGCTTACCTGCACACTTATACTGAGCAAGTAACCAGTTCAGATAATTGTGCAAACAGGTGAAATAACAGAACAAAGTTCCAGAACTTTTCTCAATTGATTTTAGTGCTGAACTGTCTGTTGTAGTACACACCCAGATGCTTACCCATGAAGTGAAACTGAATTGCACTGTGCATTTACTTTACCAATCCCAATAACTCCAAAGTGCAAAAATGTGCTGATTAGGTGGTCTGGCCATGCCAAATTGCAGGTAGTGTCCAGGGATATGCAAACTAGACGGATTAGCCATGGGAAATCCAGGGTTACAGGGATAGGGTTGGGGATTGGGTCTGGGTCTGGGTGGGAAACTTTTTGGAACGCCAGTGTGGGCTCAATGGGCTGAATGGTCTGTTTCTGCACTGTAAGGATTCGTTAAAAAACCTTGCAAACTCTGATGCATAGGGTGAATAGCAAGAATGCAATCTGAGATATCCTGTCAGCACTGGATCAAGGTAACATAAAAATTTTATGCATTATTCTTTGACAGAATTTCTTTGAAAAAAATCACAAATCCGTGATTAGTTTCATGTATATTCAAATATTTACATCTTATACTTTCAAAATGTAATTATCAGTTTAGTAAGTAACAGAGCAAAATGTATACATAGAATTTGTGAGAATCAAGGGAAAAAAAGATGAATTGTGAATGATTCAATAATTACCTTTAAAAGTTATTTTTTTGTTTTCAAATGTAGAAATTTGGTTCTGCTGAGTTCCAATAGAATGCTTCAAAAAAACTCTTTGTCCAATGTTTCTTGCTGTTTCTACATAGTTTATTTGCTGAACACCTTTCCTGTCTGGAATACAATGCTGCACTGAAGTTTCTGGTATAATACAGATTTCTTCTGCCTTTTCTTCTAAACATATAGCTCCTAAGTCTGGCTTAATCATAGAGATGCCTTCAGAGTCTTGCCCATAGCCAAGTTGGAATTTGTCAGTATAGCCAGAGAAACATGCAGATGCTTTGAATGTGGCAGTATTATATTTTGCCATTTCCTGTTTCAAACTATAGCTGTTGCTTTTATTCACTACTTCTTTCTGATTTCCATTTTCCTTTAATAAAAGCATATCTGTTGGCTGCTGTTCTTTAGCTTGATGTTGACCTCGAATTTTCTGTAGGTGTTCCATATACAGAAGATATTTATCATATGTATTTAGCTCAGGATCACTGGTCTCTGAAGAAATACAAGTATTAAATGTGGAATATTTCAAACTATTTATCTCGTCAGAATCCACAATGTCAGAATGTTCATTTGATGCAGCCGTTGCTTTTGTTAGCAACATATCTGATTTCTTTTGCATAGGACTATCTCTGTGATTCAAAGATGATATTTCATTAACATTACTGGTGACTGCATCAAACTGTGGTGTTATTCCAATCAGAACACATCCACATTCCATGCACCAGTTATCAGTTGAACTGTTACCACTTGCACATGTTGGGCAGAATTTGACCAGATTACTTATAGAAAGGAAAGAGTCAATATTATCACCCATGATTTGGTCTGTCTCTCCTCCATTGGACTGCTCTTTTACAAATTGTGAATTGGATTCCTTTGAGTAACTGGAATCAGAGGATAATAGCAAAGAGGAAGAAGCCGAAGTCAAATTACTAGGTGACTGATAATCAATTATTTTTTGCCTTGCTTCATTTTCATCATGATTATCGTTTGTTTCTTTTTTTAATGGATCACTTCTCAAAGCTAGATGCTTTTTTGCCACCATCTTGTCTGATATTTTGCCACTACAACATTTAGGAGACATTGATGAATCTGAAAGCAATGTTTTATTTCCATTCGTAAGATTTAAATTTCTTGGTCTTTTGGGGAATTGTTCAACTTGTGGTCCTTCTTGGAAAGTAGTGACTAACTTTGTTCCTTCGTTTATGTCATTTGCTGACATTGCTTCATATGAGGTTACTGTTGTCCCTTTGCATGTGGTTGAAAGATCTAGTTTTGGAATAGCTGATGAATTCATCTGTGATTTGAATTCAAATCTAGCATTTTCGAGATTTAATAAACTATCAGGGAGTCCTGCAGCTGCTGAATATTCTTTTGACATCTTATGATTACCAGCTGATAAATATTCCTCTGCCTCAAGAAATTCCCATGTATAATTACATTTTTCACTATCGTAAAGACTTGATGCACTGCGTTCTGTAGTGTTACGTAGATTAATAGGACTTGTTAATTGATTGGAAGTGTAACAGCATATTGCAGAGGATTTTCTAAGCGTTACTGTTCCAGTTGATTTGGTTGGTTCCATTCTTTCTCCATTTCCTCTGCCATTCTCTTCATCTGAGCTACCTTCAAGAGGAGACCAGAAGTACTTATCCCTATTTACTGCACTCATATCACTGATCACAAAATGGTGGCTTTTATTTGCCAGAGACTCTAATTGAGCTTCATGCACTTTACCTTCCTCTACACCACTATTTTTCCAGTTATTATTTGAAACATTATCTCCACATGCAGTTTCTTCTTCAGAGAAAGTGCCTTTCCAAATATTATCAGGAAAAATATGCTGCTTGCTTGAATAATCAGAATTTGTTGAATTACATTGTTCTTCAACCAGGCTGGTAGCTAAGGAGGAATTTTGAATTAAGGTCCTACTAGGTCTTAATAACTCAAGCGAGCTACAGCTATCAGAAGATCTGGAAGCATCTGCTGAGTAATGAGACCCACACAACCTTTCAGTGGAAGATGTGGTGTGGATACTTTGATCAGTATCCTGAGAATAATGAAAAGTACTTGACTGTTTAGTGTCAGAATCCATGTGGCTCACAATATCTTTTTCATTTACTGCGCAAATGTTTTGAGATACTGGGACAGTCATAGCCTTCTCACTATTTTTCAGGATTTTCTGAGCCCAGCTTAGAATATGCCTGAGCTTTTGGATTTCTGATATAGTAGGATTATGCAGCATGTTATAGTCTGGTTTTGGCAAGCAAATAATTGCTTTATCATTCCTAGAGAGTGCCAATGATGATGGTTCTAAATCACTATGACAGCCCTTTTCTATATCCTGAATTCTTGTATATTGAACTGAGTCATTACAATCAAGCGCTTTTCCTTTGTGCTCAGCATTTAGCAAATTTTCTCTTGGTGGATAACTCACATTATGAACAAAACTTTGTTTGTCATTAGCTTCTGAACTGCTATCAGCTATGGGTATATTTGTGCAGTTACGGTTAGGGCCTACAAAGTAAGCCAAACGTTTTGCTCGAAGTGTCTTCAGTTCACGTGTGCGAGGAGTGTCTGTTTTTAGGATGGTCTCAGCACTTAAATGCTTTGACGTTCTTGTAGCTGAAAACATATTCTGCAATATATGAGAAATAATGTTATTACATAATGTAAATAATAACAAGAATACACATGGGGAAGAAAGTATTATTTAAAAATATCACTCCCAGTTGTTTGGATGTTCAATTGTGGTGTGGCCATCTCTAGCTGACCCAGCATTCATTGCCTACCTCTAGTTGCCCCTGAGATGATGGTGAACTGTCTTCTTGAATCACTGCAGTGCACGTGCTGTAAGCAGACCCAGAATGTTGTTAGGGAGGAAATTGCAGAATTTTGACCCAATGATACTCAAGGAATGGTGACATATTTCTAAGTCAGTAAAGTGAGTAGCTTGGAGGGGAGCTTGTAAGTCATGGTGCTCCATGTGTCTACTGCCCTTGTCCTTCAAGATGAAAGTGCTCATGGGTTTGGAAGGTGCTGTTTTCGGGGAATCTGTGTTGAATTTCTGCAGTGCATCTTGTAAGCGGTACATACTCTGCCACTGAGTGTTAATGGTGAAGGGAGGCGATGTTTGTAGATGTAGTGCCAATCAAATGTGCTGCATTATCCTTGATGGTGTCAAGCTGCTTGAGTGTTTTTGGAGTTGCACTCATCCAGACAAATGGGGCATATTCCACAGTCCTGACTTGTGCCTTATAGATGGTGGACAGACTTTGGGGAGTCAGGGATTGGGTTACTCACAGCAGTATTCTTAGTCTCTGACTTTCTCTTGTAACAATTATATTTATCTGACTAGTCCAGTTGATTTTCTGGTCAAAGGGATCCCCCAGGATATTGATAGTGGAGGGATTCGGTGATGGTAACACTGTTGAATGTCAAGGGGCAATGGTTAGATTGGCACTTATTGGAGATGGTCCTTGCCTGGAATTTATGTGCCTGAATGTTACTTGCCACTTGTCAGCCCAAGCCTGGACATTGTCCAGGACTTGCTGCATTTGGATATGGAATGCTTTAGTATCTGAGGAGTCACAAATGCTGTTGAACATGGTGCAATTATTGCTATTTCCAACCTAATAATGGTGGGAAAGTCATTAATGAAGCAACTGAAGATGGTTGAGCCAGGACTACCCTGAGGACCTCCTGCAGAGGTGTCCTGGAACTGACATGACTGACCTCCAACACCCACAACAATCTTCCTATGTATCAGGTGTGACTCCAACCAGTGAAGAGTTTACCTCCTGATTCCAAATGATTGCAGTTTTGCTAATGCACCTTGATGCCACACTCAGTCAAATGCAGCTTTAAAGTCAACGGCTGTCACTCTCACCTTACTTCTGGAATTCAGTTCTTTTGACCATGTTTGAACCAAGGGTGTAACAAGGTCAGGAGCTGAGTGGTCCTGGTGGAACCCAAACTGGGCATCAGTGAGCAGGTGCAGCTTGATAGCACTGTTGATGACATCTTTCATCACTTTTACTGATGCGGTGGGGGGGAGCGGGGGGAGGTGGGGAGGGGTGTGTAATTGGCCGGGTTGGATTTACCCCGCTGAGTGTGTACACAGCACACCTGGGCAATTTTCCACATTGTTGGGTAGATGTCAGTGTTTCAGCTGCACCTGAACAGCTTGCCTTAGGGTGTGGCAAGTTTTCAGTACAATGGGGAGGCAATGTCCTAGTGATGTTATCACTACTCTATTAATCTAGAACCTCAGCAAATGTTCTGGGGTCCTGAATTTAAATCCTGGGTGGAATTTGAATTCAATAAAAAAAGATCTGGAATTAAAAATCTACTAATGATCATGAAACCATTCTTGATTGTCAGAAAAACCCATCTCATTCACTAATGTCATCCAAGATGGCAGTGGAGTTGGACTCCTGAGCTGGAGCTTGTCCACTCTGACCAATTTTCTTTCTTCTTTTTTCGCTTTTTTCTTTTCTTTCAGCTTGTTCTCTACTTACTTTCTGGAGGGAGCTCAGTCGCAAAGGCAGCCATGGCTATGGCCGAGGCTGGGGGACCAGTGTGCGGACTGTGGCAGTCAGCCCCAAGAGCGGGTGGTGTGTCCGGACTGGGGGCCCAGTGCGGCACCACAGTAGGACTCCAATGGCCTGTGACAAGTTGTCTGGTGGGCCCAAATGGCAGTCAAGAGTGAGGTGACAGCACAGGGTGGGGGTTGTGGGAGACAGAGATGTATAGAGAGACAGCGTGAGCGAGAGAGGACAGAGATAGAGAGAGAGAGAGAGAGAGAGAGACAGAGACAGACAGAGAGACAGAGACAGAGACAGAGAGCGAGCGAGCCCTTGTGGGGAAAACCAGTGTGGCACAACTGCAGCCCCATGACTAAAGAATGACTGTAATTTGGAACTTTCAACTTTATTTCTTATTTACTACTTTATAAGGAGAAGAATTGTGATGTTGAACTTTTCATTTATTTCTTTATACTTTTACTTTTTTACCTAACATTTTGTACCTAGGTACCTTGTACCTAAGATGACGCTGTGAATGGTGACATTGTAAACTTTTCACTGTAATCCTGTATCCCTGTTCTTGAGTACAAGTGACAATAATACCTAATTTTAATTCTAATTGTAATATCCTTCAGGGAAGGAAATCTGCCATCCTCATCTGGTCTGGCCTACATGTGACTCCAGACCCACAGTGGTTGGTTGACTCTCAACTACCCTCTGAAATGGCCCAGCAAGCCACTCAGTTTTATCAATCACTACAAAGTCTCAAAAAAGAAATGAAACCAGGCAGGCCACTGGAATTGACCTAGGCACTGGAAAAGACAACAGCAGAAAACAGCTCTGTCAACCCTGCAAAATCCTCCGTACTAACATCTGGGGTCTGGTGCCAAAATTGGGAGAGTGGTCTCACAGAATAGTCAAGCAACAGCCTGACATATTAATACTCATACCTCATACCTCACAGACAATGTCCCAGACACCACTGTCACCATCCCTGGAATTCTCCTGTCCCACCAGGAGGACAGGCCCAGCAGAGGCGACAGCATAGTGGTATACTACCAGGACAGAGCTGCTCTGGGAGTCCTCAATATTGACTCTGGACCATGAAGTCTCATGGCATCAGGTTAAACTTAGGCAAGGAATTCTCCTGCTGATTACCACATACTGTCCATGTTGAACAATACCTGGAGGAACCACTGGGAGTGGCAAGGGTGCAAAAATGTACTCTGGATGGGGGATTTCAATGTCCATTATCAAAAGTGGCTCAGCAGCAGCACTACTGATTGTTCTATAGGACCTGACTAGCTCATAGCTGTTCGACTGGGTCTGCACCAGCTGGTGAGGGAACCAACAAGAGGGAAAAACATACTTGACCTCATCCTTACCAACCTGCTGCTGCAGATGTACCTGTCCTTTACAGTATCTGTAAGAGTGACCACCACACAATCATTGTGGAGACAAAGCCCCACCTTCACATTGAGAATACTCTCTATCGTGTTGTATGGCACTATCACTGTGCTGAAAGGGACAGACTTTGAACAGATTTAGCAACACAAGACTGACCATCCATGAGGCACTGTGTGCCATCAACAGCAGAATTGTACTCCAGCACAATCTGCAACCTCATGGCTCAGCATATCCCCCACTCAACCATTACCAGGCAGAGGATCAACTCTGGTTCAATGGAGAGTGCAGGAGTCCAGGAGCAGCACCAGGCATTCCTAAAAATGAGCTGTCAACCTGGTGAAGCTACCAAACAAGTCTACTCGCACACCAAACAGCATAAGCAGCAAGAGGCAGACAGAGCTAAGTGATCCCACAATCAATGGATCAGATCTAAGCTCTGCAGTCCTGTCACATCCAGTTGTGAATGGTGGTGGACAATTAAACAACTCACTGGAGGAGGAGGCTGCACAAATATCGCCACCCTCAAATGATGGAAGAGACCAGCACATCAGTGCAAAAGATCTGGCTAAAGCATGCGCTGCAATCTTCAGTCAGAAATACCGAATGGATGATCTATCTCAGCCTCCTCCAGCAGTCCCCAGCACTACAGATACCAGTCTTCAGCCAAAAATCATTCAATCCTCATAACATTAGAAACAGTTGGAGACACTGGATAGTGCAAAGGCTATAGACCCTGACAATATTACTATAATAGCACTGAAGACTTGCGCTCCAGAAATTGCTGCTTCCCTAGCCAAGCTCCTCCAGCACAGTTACAATGCAAATATTGTCAGAGCCCATTGTCGTGGCAGTATTATTGATTTCACATGGAGTGAAACTATTTGGCTGAATATGGGGATCGGTGGTGCCAGAACCTCCTCTGGTGGAAATGAGATGGATTATCCACTCAGCATTTCCAGTTGAAGATTGTTGCAAAAGATGAGGCTAAACATTTGCACAGAATAACAACAGCAATAGCAATCAGGAAGAGTATCTCAAATGCAGGAGAGAGGCTAAGGCTGCAATGCGGATAGCTATGTGTAAGCATGAGGAAAGCATGGCAAGCTGCACTAAAACAAATAATAAAATTTTCTTCTAATATATTAATAATAAAAGATTAGCAAAGGATAGCATGGAGCCCCATAAGGAGCAAGCTGCTCACTCAAGCCAAGGGTATAGCTGGGTACTAAATGAATACTTTGCTTCTGTCTTTACCAAATTAGAAAACAGTGACAATGGCCCAATTCAAAATATGGGTGTCAAGTAACTGAGCAGTAGAGTGATAGATAAAGAAGAGCTGCTAAAAAAGCTGGCTGCACTCCAAATAGAGAAGTCGTCAGACCCAGATAGATGCTTCCTAGGTTGAAGAGAGGGGTAAGGGAGCAAATTGTAGAGCTGTTAACAGAATCTTCTAGGACTCTCTCAATGCAGGATTAGTCACAGGGGCCTGGAGGTTTGCAAATGCAACACCGTTGTTAAGAAAGGGGCAAACGATAATCCAGGAAATTACAGACCTGTTTGCTTGACATCAAATGCAGGAAAACTGATGGAGACCATAAAATGGGATAGGATAATTAAACACTTAAGAGAAAAATAAATTTGTACTAGACTGTCAACATGCCTTTGGCAAGAGCTGATCACATCTGACAAATTTAACTGAGTTCTTTGATGAAGTGACACTGGCAGTGGACAAGGGTAGTGATGTGGATGTTGGATATTTGGACTTTCAGGAAGCATGTGAAACAGTGCCACATAGCAGGTTGGTTAGAAAATTAGACATGTTGAGGATTGATGGGTACTTGACAGCCTGAATTAGAATTTGGCTTAAAAAACATGAAACAGAGCAGGTATAGCTGGACATTTCTCAGACAGGAGACAAGTTGAAAGTGGTGTTCCCCAGAGATTGGTGTTGGGATCTTGCATTTTCAGATGTATATAAACAATTTGGACATGGGTACTGACAGCAAAAATCTCTAAATTTGCAGATTTAAGCAAGGTAGAAAGTGAATTGTGAGAATGATGCTAAGCAACTTCAGATGGACATTGACGAGTTAGTCAAATGGGCAGACACCTGGCAGATGAATTTCAATACAGAGAAATGTGAGATAATGCAATCTGGTAGAAGAAACAGGAGAAACAACACAGGCTTAATGGTACAACTTTGAGTGACATGTAGGAGCAGAGATACCTCAGGGTTCACAATGTACAATTCTTCGAAGATAGCCAAGTAAGTTGAAAAAGTTGTTAAGGCGGCTTACAGGATCTTTTGGTTTATAAATAGAGGCATAGAGTATAAAAGCAAGGAAGTGATGCTACACCTCTACAAATCATTCATCAGATCACATTTGGAGTATTGTGTTCAGTTCTGGGTACCTTATTTAAGGAAACATATTAAAGCCCTGGGGAGTGTGCGAAAAATATTTACTAGAATGATACCAGGAATTAGGGATTTTAGATTCAAGGAAAGATTCAACAAACTGAGCTTATTTTTCTTGGAACAGAGAAGATCAAGACGTGATCTTATTGAGGTGTTTAAAATTTATCTACAATGTCGACAGGATAAAGAAGGATATTCTGTTTCCACTAGTTGGTATGTCAGTGACTAGGGGACACAATTTCAAAATTGTCAACAAGACAGCTGGGAGTGAGATGATGAGAAACTTCTTTACTCAGAGTTTTTAGGATTTTGAATGCGCTGTGCGGGAGAGTAATGGAAGTGGATTCCATAACAGGTTTCTAAAGAGAGCTGGACATATATTTGAAAGTGATGAATTTAGAAGGTTACAGAGATAGGGCTAGAGAATGGGACTAGCTGGGTAGCTCTTTCAGGAGCCAGGACGGACAAGATGGTTGAAATAGAATTTTAAAGTACAAAAAGAGGCTATGATTCAATGATGACCTGGGCTGTCTCATCATCGAAGATGAGTATATTTGTGAAGCCTCCTCCTCCTCCAGTGAGTTGTTTACTTATCCACCACTTTTCAAGAGTGGATTCGGCAGTGATCATGTGTTAATTTCCTTTATTGTTTGGGGCTACATTTCGTATTCGAATTAGATTTTATAGTCATGTGTACTCAAGTATGGGAATACGTGAGTACAGTTAAAGGTGTACAAAGTCGCCATTCTCCTCCAACTTGGTTACAAAACCAGAATTTGAAAAAAAACCAGCAGAAATAAAAGAAAGCTAAAAGGTCGGGAAAACATCTAGATCTTAAAGTCTAAGTCTAACTCCATAAAGGTGCTTGGAACACTCAGCCACCGATGCAGGGACCCAGCCCTGACCCGAAGTCTCTGTCAGCTTACGAGTGTCACACCCATTGTTGGGAGGGGGCACATTCTTGCTGCCACTGACGCTGCTGCCACCACCACCTCCCATCGCTGGGGGGAGCCACGTCGGCCGCCTCCAAGTACCGGGAGGCTGCCACTGTTCCGCGCACATGTCATGTGCTGCTGATGCCGACGTTGCTGATTAACCCACCGCAAAAGGCTGAAGATAAACAAAAAACAACACAAAAATGAAGAAAAAGAGCAAAAGTAAAACGAAAAAAAGAAATGAAAGCAAGCAGACAGGATCAGAAAAGCCCTCGGCTCAGGAGCCCACGCATCGCCCTGTTACTCCACCGCCATGTTGGAGAATCTAAGGAGCGTGGCAGGTATCTTCTGATTCCATAGTTTGAACACAAGAAATGGACCATCGAGCCTGTTCCAACATTCAATATGACTGACTTTGGGCTCCAATTGCACTTTTCCATCCACTTCCCATACCGCACACGCCACAATTCCCTAAGAGTTTATAAGTCCATTCCATCACACTGAAAATTCACAAAAAAAATGAAGAAACCTGTTTAACAACTATTTGTAATGCTTTTTATGTATCCAGAAAGTCACACACAATAATTATTGACCAGGTGTTTTTATGAATCAAGGAGCTGAAAAAGACAAACACGTCTTACCGACGGTTTAGAATTTAATGATTGAGATCCTTCAGTACACTGTGACTGCAGCAGTTTATCCTCTTACTGGATTCACAAATTCAGCATCTGACATAAGCCACTGTTGGTGAAGATTGAGTGAAACAGAAATGAGTGACAAAATTACATTACAGAAAGGAGATGGCACCATGTATTAAGGTACTGAGAGAGAATCATCAGGCATTATGCTCCATGCTTTAAAGTTGGAAACAGCTGAGCTATACTAACAAGTACTGCAACTTCAAAAGTAATCTGAAAAGCATCTCAGGCAGAGTCTCACCACAGTTATGCACAAACCAGACCAGTGTGCCTGTCCAACCTTGGAAAACATTTAAGTCTATCAAAACAAATACAATCTTCTAAAAGATGGAGATTAATGCTATGATAAGATCCACATGTTTGTCATAGTCTCAATTAGAAATTCATAATGTATTAGGTTGGACAGTTTGAAATTCAATAATTTTATTTTTACAAAGGCTTGTTTCCTTTAAACGCGGGAATTAGATGTTAGAAGTTAAAACTGCGTCATGGGAGAATACGATGTGAGGGGTGATAGAGGAATGGTCCCTTCAGAATGCTGACAGGGGAAGAGAAACTATATTTGGAGGTACCTTCCCGCTTGACTGCAGGAGCTGTAACAAATTGCTGTTTTACCTCCACCATTCTCACTGTTTAAGTGCCCAAACACTACCTCCAGGTGAAGCAGCAATTTATTTGTACTTCTTTCAATCTGGTCTACCGTATTCACTGCTCACAATGCAGTTCTTCAACATTTGGGAGATAAAGCAAAAACTGGTTGACCATTTTGCAGAACACTCCACTCAGCATAATCCTGACCTCCTGGTCAGTTACCATTTTAATACACCATCTTGCTGTAATGCTCACATTTCTGTCCTGCCTCGTTCCAGAGAAACACAAAGCAAGCCGGAGCAACAGTGTCTCATTTTCTGCTTAAGCTCTTTATAGCCTTCTGGATTCAAGTTCAACAACTTTTGGTCGTGGAGGGAGTTGATGTTTGTTTTTTCCAACACCTTTCAATTCTAAAAGACAGGCATACCGGATTCAAAACATTAACTTGGTTTCTCTCTCCACAAATGCTGCCAGACTGCTGAGTTTCTCTAGCATGTTCTGTTTTCATTATCCTTAACTTCCTTAGATAACGATGGCTAGCCCTTGCCATTTTTAGAATCCTTCCTCCTCAGTGGAATATGTATTTACTATGAGCCATGAGCTATTTTCTTAACTGTCTGCCATTGTTCCTCAACCATCTTTGCTACCAACCTCCTGCCCTAGTCCTCTCTGGCTAACTCTTTATAGTTACCCTGAGTTAAGATGATCACAGTTGTTTCCTCTCTTCAAAACTGAACGCTAAATTCTACTGCTATTTGAGGGGATCTTTTACTCTGACATCATTTATTAAAACTGCCTCATTACACATTACCAGATGCAAAATTGGCCTGATCCCGAGTTGGATCCACAATATATTGTTCTGGGAAACTGTCTCAAATACACATTGTGAATGGTTCCTTATGGCTTACTTTGCCAATCTGATTATCCCAATCTACACGAAGATTAAAGTCACCTATGATTTATGTACTGCCTTTATTACATGCCCCCATTGTCTCCTGATTTATACTCTGTCCCACCATATACCTATTTGGAGGCCTATAGACTACTTCTACCAGTGTCTTTCTTTTTTTATTTCCTATCTCCACCCTACAGATTCTACTGATTCAAGATAATTCTTGCTATTTATTCCATCCTATATTAACAAATTACTCCATCACCCTTTTCTTCCTGCCAGTCATAGAGTCATACAGCATGAAAACAGACCCTTCAGTCCATGCTGAATGTAATCCCAAACTAAACTAGTCCCACATGCCTGTTCCTGGCCCATATCCCTCCAAACCTTTCCTATTCATGTACCTATCCAAATGTTTTATAAACATAACTGTACCCACATCCACCACTTCCTCAGGAAGTTAATTCCACATGCGAACCACAGTGTAAAAAATGTTACCTCTCATGTCTTTTTTAAATCTGCCTCCTTTCACCTTAAAAATGCATCCCCTAGTCTTGAAATACCCCATTCAGGAAAAAGACAACTACCAATTTTATCTTTTTTTTACCATTCTTCCCATGCCCTCTCCCACTACCCCAATCCTAATTACTACTCAGAGTATACAAAGTCGTTCCCTTCCTGCCCCACTCTGGTATCATCCAAATAGCTGCCCTGCAATTCTGCCACAATTCTTGCTTTGAAAATCGACATTCCCCCTCTCTCATCCCTCCCCACCTCTGATTTGTATAAAGCTTTATCTACAGATTACTATTTGGCTTTAGTTTACTATACAAAAAAAATCAGTTGTGTAAAACAATTTCTACGTTGGTATACACTCAGGTCCCTCTCTTGCGCCTGTTTTAGAATGGTACTCATTGTTTTTCTAGGTCCTTCCTGTCAAATTGAATGAACTTTCAGCCGCCACTTCCCCGCTCATTCTATAGTCCTTTTAAAGTTCTACACCACTTCAAAGTGTGGTGTTACCTGCAAACGTTGAACCCGTGCCCTGTAGCAGCGAGGTCTAGCTCTTGAATACACATATCAAGAGGAGCAGGAGACTCTCTCTCTCAAATACAGCCTGCAATAAGACATGCTGCCGGCCCCACCTGACCCTATGTATCCAGCCGTTTCCATGGCTGCGGGTACGCGGGCGCCCCCCGGGGAGTTCTTCCAGCTGCCTGCAGCATTCGGTGAATGAAAGGGGGGCTGGGGAGGGGAGATAGTATCTCTTTATTACGGCCCTTCCTCAAAATAAGGTCCCGTGCTCCCGGGAACTGGCCTTCCCGACCCCTCTCCCTTTGATTAAAAAAAAATTTATTCCGTGGGGTTCCGCCGCCTCCCGCCATTTTGCAAATGCAGGTCTAACCCGTTTGCTGAGAATAAAATGATCGTTAGCATATTATCTAAAACATAGTTACCTCATCGGCCAGCCACTGCTGAGTAAGAAACGGTGGATGGTGAGGTGTGTGCAGCGAATAAAACTCAGCCTAAGATGACTTAAGCTTCAGTTTTCTCAAGTCACCATCGGTTCGACTTACTCGACGGAGGGTCTCCGCAACGTTGATTACTTTGCTGGAACAAGCACTGCTAATTCCCTAGAACTGACCACTGTACTTACCCGAACACGGGCTATCCAGGCACAGAGGGCTTTGCAAGGGCAGTTACTGTGCATATGCCTCACAGGGTAGCGCTCTGGAAATCAAACCCTGCTGTGCAGTGTATACTCTTTTCCTGGGATGTTGGAACAAGAATGACAAGGGAACCATAACAAATCCGCACCTGGATTTACAGACCAACGTAGTGGGGGCAGGGAGTGGTCGGGAGCTGAGAGAGTATCTGAGTTAGTGGAGCTGACTGTGAGGAGATAAGAATAATCCTTCTACTTGGTACTGGCTGCTGAAGTTTTGCCTATTGCTAGGTGGATATTCATTGTAAGCGGTAGTAAGAAAGGATGTAGATAAGCTGGAATCAAGGGTGTATACAAATGGAAGTCCAGCCAGCAACAGGTAGCTAATTAGTTTGTGGACTAGTGACCAGTTATTGATGACAAAGGCCTTCTGCCTGCCAACAGTCATGTTGGTTCTCAGCTAGCTGAACAGCACAGATTGTGAGATATCATCAGATGTCTGACATCCTCAGGTTTCTCTTTCCAGGATTCCTTTCCAGAAAGGCACTGAATTTACACCTGCAATCATCTTTCGGCTGTATCTCCTCTTGTGAAAAAAAATCAATCCAAAGTTCAATATGTTCAAAAATCCACAGGTGATTCAGGGTTATGATCTGTGATCAGAATACAACCCTGCAGTTATACTCCATTCCCCCTTGCAATAAAGGCTAACATTCAGTCAGTGAAACAGTGTCACCTGTCCCAACAGCCTCAGATGCAGCTGTTCCCTCAGTAATGCTTCAAACGTCATATCGGCCTTTTTGGGAGTGAACCCATGGAGAGTGACTGGCCCAGATGGAGTCTCCGGCCGAGCACTCAGATCCTGCACGAACCAGCTGGTGGGGGTATTTGCTGACATCTTCAACCTCCCTTTACTACAATCTGAAGTCCCTTCAAGAAGACCACCATCATCCTGGTACCAAAGAAAATTCATGCAGCATGCCTCAATGACTACTGCCTGGTGGCTCAGACCTCCATACTTATGAAGTGCTTCAAGAAGTGAGTCATGGCTCACGTCAACTATGGCCTCCTAGCCTGTCTTGGTCCCTTGCAATTCACCTACCATCGCAACAAGTCCACGGCATACATCATCTCCTCTGCCCAATGGAACAGGGTGGAGGGGTGTTTGATTATGTTGAAGTTTCGGGTCGAGTCTCTTTTTCTGAAGAAGGGTCTCGACCTGAAACGTCAGTTTTCCTGCTCCTCTGATGCTGCTTGACCTGCTGTGTTCATCCAGCTCTACACCTTGTTATCTCAGATTCTCCAGCATCGGCAGTTCCTACTATATCTGTTTGATTATGTTGGTTGCTTTCTTGAGGCACCAGGAAGTATAGATGGAGTCAATGAATGGAAGTTCTGAGGAAGGGTCATTGGATCCAAAATGTTAACTCTGATTTCTCTTCACATGTGCTGTCAGACCTACTGAGCTTTTCTAGCAACTTCTGTTTTTCTTATCAATGGACGGAGAGCTGGTTTGTGTGATGGATGGGGCTGTGTTCACAACTCTCTGTTGGTTTCTTGCGGTCTTGGGAAGTGCAGTTGCCAAACCATGCTGTGATGTATCCAGAATGGAACAGTTCACCATCTTGAAAATTTCTCACTTATTCAATTTCTTTGTATTCTGTGTCAATGCTGCAGCCCTCTCCACAAAACCATGATGATTTACCTTGTCATGCTATCTACAACTATTGATTCCCTTGATCCATCCTGTTTGTTAGATCTCAAGGGACGGAGGAAAAAGATTTGATAATTTTATGAGTTACGCCATGTTTTGACAAACTCATTCATAGATTTGAACATTGCTTGCAAAGGACAGCAAGAAAAAAATTACCCATTTCCTGTTGATTTTTCATGGCATTACAATTGCTGAATTATGCACATTCGACATCCTGCTAGTTACCATTAAGTAAAAAGTTGGAACTGGATATTCCCCCCTAGGGTGTCGCCAGCAACACATAGTATGGAAGTATAAAAACAAATATCATGCATTCCTACAAACCGATATCCATTTCAAGCCCACCGACTCCCACAGCTACCGAGAATACACCTCCTCCCACCCACCTTCCTGCAAAAATGCCATCCCCTATTCCCAATTCCTTCGCCTCCGCCGCGTCTGCTCCCAGGATGAGGCATTCCACTCCCGTACGTCTCAGATGTCCTCGTTTTTCAAGGACCGCAACTTTCCCCCCTCAGTGGTCGAGAACGCCCTCCACCGTGTCTCCCACATTTCCCGCAACTCATCCCTCACACCCCGTCCCCGCAATAACAACCAAAAAAGAATCCCCCTCATCCTCACGTACCACCCCACCAACCTCTGGATCCAACGCATCATCCTCCGACACTTCCGCCATCTGCAATCCGACCCCACCACCAAAGACATTTTTCCCTCCCCACCCTTATCTGCTTTCCGGAGGGACCACTCTCTCCATGACTCCCTTGTCCGCTCCACACTCCCCTCCAGCTCCACCACACCCGGCACTTTTCCCTACAA